AACGTCTGCGGAACAACAAACCAGCTCGGCGAGCCAACCAACCTCAATGAATTACTGGATGCAGGCGCCACATAAACAGAGGCTGCTGTGGACTTCACCTGAGCACCACGACACTGAGCGGAGTGAGGTAAGAACAGCTAGCCGATGGAGTCAGATAAATTACAACCAGGAACACACACTGTACCTGAAGACTCTGTCAAACAGGCGAAGGCTGCTAGAAGAGTGATTAACGACAGGAGCGAAGCCATGTGGAGATACTTCAGTGCTTTCCCGTGAAAGTCAGTACCTGGAAAAGGGAAGAACAAAAACGGGCATCAACGTTTCTCAACGGGTCCCAGAGCGTGAGGCAGGAAAGCGGATGGGAGGAATGTCAGATCAGCCAAGCTGGAGAGGCTGAGCGGCAACAACGCTGTAGAGGGCCATCATCCCTGTGCCTTCAGAATTAGTTAATCCATTAGCCCCACCTCATGCTTCCCTCATGAAATGTTGATCGAATTCGCTTCTGAAAGTTGTGGAAAAGTTTGGCAGGTTTGAACTAATCTCTGCAGGCAACAGTGGTAGAACTTCAGATGGCCCACCAATCGCGTTCAAGTGTTTCAGTCTTAAACATTGTCATTGTTTTAAACTTCTGACAATAAAGAACTTAATTCTCTTACCTATTCTGTTACTGTCAGAGTGGAAACACAGAAGAATTATCCCCATGAGGACTGACAAAGCAAATATCAGGGCAACAATGGATAATACCATTGTACAGAGAATCACAAGTGGAAAACCTGTAAGAGAGAATTCGACGTTAAATACCTCGTATTTTCAAATCAGATTTTTAATTGCACCAGGGGATGTCTCTCCCCACTCCCCCAGAAGATGTGACGATCTCTAGATTGCTCTGGGGAGAGTGCAGGGAGAGATTTGGGTGAATCAGTACGTTCAAGGCGGAGGTAGACAGATCTCTGATCAGTAAGGGAATCAAAGGTTACGGAGAAAAGGCAGGAAAGTGGAACAGACTCAATGGGGCTGAATGACCTCCTTCTGTTCCAATGTCTTATGATCGTATGAACTCCCTGCCTGACTGTATTGTGGGTCTATGTACAAACACATGGACTGCCGCGGTTCAAGAGGGAAGCTCGCCACCACCTTCTCGAGGGCAACGAGGCAATGGGCGACAAATGCTGGGCCCAGCCAGCGAAGCCCATGTCCCACGAGTGAATAAATACAAACCAGTCAACTGGAGAGAAATGGGGGAGCTGGGGCTCCTCTCGTTTGAGCAGAGAATATTGAAGGAAAATTGTTCAAAATGGAATTGTTCAAGCTCATAAGGGATTTTGATAGATAGAAAGGCAGAGTTGTATTCAAACAACATCTGCCTTGACCCCACAACGTCTCAAAGCATTGTTTGAAGTATAGTCACATAAGAACATAAGAAACAGGAGCAGGAATAGGCCATGTGGCCTGTCGAGCCTGCTCCACCATCCAATAAGATCATGACTGATCTTTTCATGGACTCAGCTCCACTCACCATAACCCTTAATTCCTTTACTGTTCAAAAATCTATCTGTCTTTGACTTAGAAACATTCAATCTGGGCAGGGAATTCCACAGATTCACAACCCTTTGGATGAAGAAGTTCCTCCTCAACTCGGTCCTCTTATTTTGAGGCTGTTCTCCCTTGTTCTAGTTTCACTTGCCAGCAGAAACAACCTCCCTGCTTCTAGCTTATCTATTCCCTTATAATCTTATATCCTTCCATAAGGTCCACAACCCACCTCCCCCACATTCTTCTGAATTCCAATGGGTTTAGTCCCAGTTTACATAATCTCTCCTCATAAGCCAACCCTCTCAACTCTGGAATCAACCTTGTGAACCTCCTCTGTACCTCCCTCCAGTGCCAGTACATCCTTTCTTGAGTAAAGGAGACCAAAACTGTACACAATACTCCAGGTGGGGCCTTCACCAGCACCCCATATAGTTGCAGTGTAACCTCCCTGTTTTTAAACTCCATCCTAGGGCTATAAAGGACAATATTCTATTTGCCTTCTTAATTACCTGCTGCACCTGCAAACCAACTTTTTTGTGATTCATGCACAAGGACACCCAGATCCCTCTGCACAGCAGCATCCTGCAATTTTTCACCATTTAAATAATGGTCCATTTTGCTGCAATATCTACAAAAATGGATACATTAGGAAACATGACCATGAATTTGTCCACAATAAGCTCCCACAAACAACAAAACATGATGCTGATTAGATTGCCCTGTAGCTCAGAGGTAGGATCAGTAATGATCTTTCCTCAGAAGAAAAAGAGGTGTAAGCAGTGTGGGTGGAGATAAAATGAGGAAGCTGTTACAATTCTGGTAAGGGCGTGAACGTTCATTTAGAGTTAGTACTTAGAATCCCTACAGTGTGGGAACAGGCCCTTCGGCCCAACAAGTCCACACCGACCCTCAGAGCATCCCACCCAGACCCATCCCCCTATAACCCACCTAATCTACACATCCCTGAACATTACAGGTAATTTAACATGGCCAATCCACCTAACCTGCACACCTTTGGACTGTGGAAGGAAACCGGAGCAAACCCACACAGACACGGGGAAAATGTGCAAACTCCACATAGTCAGCTACCCGAGGGTGGAATCAAACCTGGTCCCTGGCGCTGTGACGCAGCAGTGCTAACCACTGGGCCACCATGATGTCAACAGAGAATTAAACACTCAGTAATTAACTGAAGGAACTATTTCACAAGACTTCACAATTTTAAACACAAACAAACCTTATTGCATGGAAAAAAAATGAAGCCAAGTCAGCATTTTTAACAACCATTTGTAACTACTTATGCTATAAATCTAGTTCCACTTTTACTTCCCTGCGGAAATTTCCTTATATATTACAGAATTCTGAGGGTTCTTTTATTTTTACTTCTGGGACTGTAGGGGGCAGTTTAACTCAGTTGGCTGGACAGTTGGTTTGCAAAGCAGTGTGATGCCTGAAGTTACTATGAAGGGCCTCTCCTTCTCAACTTCTTCCTCCACCAGAGGTGCGGTGGCCCTCAGGTTAAACCATTACCAGCCACCTCTCTCTCTCTCTCTCTCTCTCTCTCTCTAAGGAGAGAGCAGCTGTATGATCTGGTAAGACTGGCAACTTGACTTCTGGGACCAAATTAACAACATGCCACAGCTCCATGGAATTCACTTTCATTTCTCCTCTTTGTCCCAGCTATTCTCCGAGGTACAAAATTTCAGAAGGGCCCTTCCATTCGATTCTGGTGAGATGAACCTTTAGCGTTAATTAAATCCTCATGAATATGAACTACTGACGCTGAATCACAGTGCTAAATACCAAGCTTAGGCCTCAGTGCTTTTTTATTTAGGGACTTAAAAAAAAATCAAGAAAATCCCTGGTTCCCAATGGTGATGTTGCTGCTTGTCTCACTGGTTTATTTCTGCTATTGGCAGATTCTAGTTCTCTCTTGCTGCTCCAAAGTGACCAATCAAGTTGACTCTGCCTTCTTACGGACTGTATTCTGTGAGCAAAAGCTCTCAGAAGCCATTAAACAAAGGAAACCTCCTGACCTCTACAGACCATCTCCATGACAACGTGGCATATATTTAGGGTGCTCCAAACAGAAATGTAAATGAATAATCTTTTTTCTTCAAAACAACTCTTTGAATATGTGGCCCACATGCGTAATTTATAACTTGAATGGAAAGAATTGCACTCTCTCCAGGGTTCTTGGTTCTACAGAGAAGAAAACTCTTGTTTACTAGGTTTCAGAGACAGTAAGAACTGCAGATGCTGGAGAATCTGGGATAACAAGGTGTAGAGCTGGATGAACACAGCAGGCCAAGCAGCATCAGAGGAGCAGGAAAGCTAACGTTTTGGGTCTGGACCCTT